TTCGGGGATTCTCTTCACTCTGACTCACTTCTCTCCTCACCTCACTCTTAAAATTTATACGTTATTGGAACTTAGTAAGAGAGAGAGAGAGAGAGAGAGAGAGAGAGAGAGAGAGAGAGAGAGAAGTCACAGTTGGTCAGCTTAAGTGACAAAAATGAAGTTATATAGCGATACGGTTTAGGTGTGCTTGAGCTATACCTCGACACACTGTTCTTGCTGTTTCTGTTGTTATCAGGCAGGCAGATGTGTATGCTTGCAGGCAGGCATGTAAGCAGGCATGTAGACAGGGAAGCAGGCACGCAGCTATGTCGGCAGGCAGCTATGTAGACAGGCAAGCACTCTCTCCCGTAGAGCCGCTGGCCGCTGACTGGCAAATTTATTAGTGGGAGCTGTCTGCGGTAATGCAATAAACGAGTACAATTTGGAGACTTTTAGCCCCCCCAATACGCACGGACGGACACAAGACAAACCTCTATCCACCAGCACAGTCAAACAAATCTTCTATCTTTTTCATTACGTGTTTCTCGTTTAACCATTTATTCCTTATTATCAACTACCTCTGTTTCCAATTCATCTTTAGCACTCCGTATTTCTCCTTAATCTTTTTTGCTTACTATTGTATTTAGATCTTTCTATCACTCGCACTTAATCTTTCACAATGAAATTTTTAATGCAGTTACTCAGTTCAGGACTTGACGTAATCTCTCTCGCTCTCTCTCTCTCTTTTGCCTACCTGTTCCCTTCCTCCATCTCTCAGGCCCCCTCACCCTCTCCTCCACCCCCCGGATCCCCTCACCCACACCTCCACCTCCCGGGCCTCCCCTTCCTCCGGACCAATAAATTATGAACACTGACCGTGAGATTTATATTGACAACAAAGACGAACTTTTCGACACATAATGCCATTACGATCAAGCAGAAACTCTGTGGACGAGACGAATGTGACAGCAACTCACCACATGAACTAAAACTTGAAGCGAACATTTGACGATAACACTCAGCTCCTGCCAATACTACCATCACCACAGCCGTGAGACCTATTGATGTCTCGTTTGTTTACCAAGAGGCATTCTGGGAGGGACTCAAGGTTCACTTTGCCAGTTTTGTTCAGCAGGGCGATAAAACACACACACACACACACACACACACACACACACACACACACACACACACACACACACACACACACACACACACACACACACACACACACACACACACACACACACACGAGAAGTATAACATTAATATCTGGCCTCACATTGAAGTCTCAAAATTGACATAATTTTGTGTTGTACTTCAATTTGATTGATGTTAAACGACCAAGTGTTTCAACTACTGAACAAATTATCCACGATATATCGAATCTAAGCAAGTCATCAACTTAGTTTAACGTCACATGAGGAGAGATCAAACTGCCGATTTCATGATAATTTCCTCGCGAATCTCGGTTCATCTTGACGCTTTATTTGGTCGTTTAGTAATTCAGGTTGAAACTTGGGTACACGTAAGTTCTCTGACCTCGTACTAGTTCTTGACAGTTGCCTCCGCCCACAGTGTCGATGTTTGTGGGTGAAGGTGTTATCATTGTGGTCTGTCTAACACAACACACCACTTACAGCGAGGAGTGTATCGTGAAAATAAACTACACAAACTTAAGAGACGAAATAAAGAGAAAATCCAAGAGACGTTTACATGAGGTGTTGTGATGTCACCACGTTGCTAAGGCCACTATCAAGGAAATGTGACCTTAAGTATATTTTACATCCTCGTTGTTCACTGGTTATGGCGGCCCAGACCACCACTTCCTCCCGGGGCTAAAACTGAACCACTAAGACTAAAACTTGATACTAACCACCCTTCCCCAACAGAGTCAAGATGGCCGACGGTTCCAGGGAGGATCACAACGCTGGAGAGATGATGAACAAGATGGTGAGATGCTCAAAGGTGACTTAATAGAAAAAAGGTAAAATTATCTTTCCTCTTCCGGTACGAAACTAACTACACTAAGAGCCAAAAATGATTCTGTAAATATCTACACCAACAGGTAGTATACAGCGTGTGAGCTAAGACACCACTACACCTTCCTGTTTCCTGTTCATTATCACCTTCAGGTAAGGGAGATAAGACAAGTAACATTATCAGCGGTCACAAAAGGTCATTCAAGGTGACCGTCGATAACACAACACCTGTAATAAATTAAGCCTGACCACAGATCCCCTAATAACAAATGGATCAAATTAACCGAATGAATACAGATGTTAAAGTTCTTCTCTAATAAGATTATTGTCAGCATTCGATTACAACAGATATTATTATCACACATCCATTATTAGACCCGATGAGACGACTGTAATATTGTATATAAGAAAACAACACATTATTTATGACTCCCGTTCAGCATTAACTTATTACTATAGTATGTGAGTTGGTACATAAGGTTACTCTACCTTCAACAACGTTTCTTCTGGTTATCTTAAATGTTTATTAAAAGACGAGAGAAACAAAAATAAGAAAAATCTACGCCATTTATCACACAACAACCACGGTCAATACACGTAGTTGCTGTTGGTAACTGTGGTGGTTGTCTGCTTGTACAAAGGTCATGTTTGTGGTCGAGAACCCTAAATAATTACTATATGTTAGGCCGAGTAATGGAACCTAAACATCAGTAGGAACAGAGTCTGATCATTGTGAAGAATATTTCTGTCCATCACAATAATAATAATCATAATCCCGACTGATACTTAGTTTTTTGTTCATTTATCTTCCTCATATAATTGTAACTATTTAGTATTCTCGAACACACACACAAATGACCCTGTATAAAATAATCTTAACAAAATTATATGTTTGCTCCGTTTAAATGAATTCATTAATCAGGTGACAAAAAAATACAAAAAAAAAGAGGCAGAACTTTGGCTATAATCTCCTTAAGGTCAGTATATATTGGTACTGACAGACAGGTCCCAGGAGTCACGGCTTATAAGATGAATAAACATGAAAATATACATGGGTAAAATAAACTAACATCAACGAACACCAAAATTAACATAAATAAGATGAACAACGTAAAAAAAAAAACCACGAAAATAAGTTTGAATAAATAATTAATAAGAATATAAATGAAAATAATAATGAATGAAGTGACTAAGATACATACAAATTAAAGTAAAGATTAAAATGACTAACTTGAATTAACAAAAGATAACTCAATTAAAACGACATATTAATACACACTACTAACTTATTTCCCCTCCATATAACAACAGATCACAAGACACACCACTAAGTAAATCTGTCGTGGAAACTAAACATAAGAGGTTGAATACACCCCCCCCCCCCCCAGGTATACCTCACCCACCACCAAGGATGACTTATACTCTGCCTTACGGGCGGATTACGGCGGCTCAAGACGATTAGTTGAAGCTCTCCCTCTGTGTACTGGAATGAAACAACCAACTCTCACCGCGGAAGAGGGAAGCTTAACACCCCACTTGATCTGTATTTAAGGTAACTACAAGAGTTACTAAAATTTTTGCCCATTTGCTATGTTAGCGAAATGTTTATAATATATATACAGTATATGTCTCAGATACAGACAACAACGTGACGGTGATGGTGTATGTTTCTCTAAAGCCGACAAGAATGTCTCTGTGTTCATGTTGTCTCCGGGAGGAACACAAAGATCTGCCGCCGCAGGACCGACACAAAGGATAAATCCAGGCTTATCTGTGTCGCTGATGCCGCCCCAAGTCTATTCTAAGACATGTGCTCTCTATACGTCCTGGACTGCATCTCATGGTAACTTGTAATCCTGCCAGCTGCTCGTCGCGGTGAATAGTCAAGCGTCTTATAAGTGTGTTCAGAAACATCTTATTTTAACAACTCTCTACTACTCAAACAACTTGGATCTCACACTCCCTCAAAACCTATGTTCTTGGCAGACTTATTATTAAATCCTTCACAACACGTACCATGCAAAATGTCCACCAGATAACGACGACGAACAAGACAAACATTCTTCTGCAGAAACCTGGCCAAGATTGAATACCTCCCCTCCCATCACTGACGGTAAAAACATTGCAAAAAAAAAATTAAATAAAAAATCCTTGAGTAAAGCGAACTTGAACCCAACCCACCACATCCCTCCACATGTTTGGGGAAAAAACAAGGAAAGGTGATGCAGACGACACTGATGTATAAGAGTTGACATCAAAGGCATCAAGGGTTGAGGAGATGTGTACCAACGAGGCATCACACTGTCAGGGGTGTCTTACCTGTTCACTCAGGTACTCGTTTACTCACTAACTCGTACCTGTGTTGACGAAGACTAGTAATACAACTCTTATACAGCAACTTTCGATGCTGTATTAAATAGAGAAAACATATCAAGCGTCTGGGGGTGATTTTTTATTATGATGCATAAGACAACAAGTAGATCTATCTCTTATTATAGTGAGTGTCGTAAACCTTATTAAACGTATATTACTGTTAGACTTGTAAATTTAAGAAACATTATATATATCAATACTAACCTAACTATATCCAATTAATATGACAGGTACTAAATAACACACATCTGTTTCGTTAATTATGACACAGTGACTTTGTTTACTCCATCTAATTTGTTAAATAATATAATAGTGTCTCTAACTACAGGATATATTATCTTAACTTTATTAAATGATCACCACTGTTGAATATTACACAAGACACACCCACCAGCCTTCCAGTGTGTTTATAGAAAGAAAAAACAAAGTTTATCTCCATAATTCACATATTCCATTCCACGACTGGACTTAAAGCTGCATTTAAGTCCAGTCGTGAAGAGCAAAGTCCACCTGCATAAATCAGGACTTTAGCATAGAGATTCTGGAGTCCTCAGCCTTCTGTAGTTTACAAACTTTGAAACTTACACACGAAAAGTTGGGAGATTTTTGGTGCTGCTTCAAAGGGGGAGAAATGAAAGCCTTAGAGTCGATCCACCCAGCACTAGTATGATAGATCCATTGATAGATCCACCCAGCACTAGTATGATAGATCCATTAATAGATCCACCCAGCACTAGTATGATAGATCCATTGATAGATCCACCCAGCACTAGTATGATAGATCCATTAATAGATCCACCCAGCACTAGTATGATAGATCCATTAATAGATCCACCCAGCACTAGTATGATAGATCCATTAATAGATCCACCCAGCACTAGTATGATAGATCCATTGATAGATCCACCCAGCACTAGTATGATAGATCCATTAATAGATCCACCCAGCACTAGTATGATAGATCCATTAATAGATCCACCCAGCACTAGTATGATAGATCCATTAATAGATCCACCCAGCACTAGTATGATAGATCCATTAATAGATCCACCCAGCACTAGTATGATAGATCCATTAATAGATCCACCCAGCACTAGTATGATAGATCCATTAATAGATCCACCCAGCACTAGTATGATAGATCCATTAATAGATCCACCCAGCACTAGTATGATAGATCCATTAATAGATCCACCCAGCACTAGTATGATAGATCCATTAATAGATCCACCCAGCACTAGTATGATAGATCCATTGATAGATCCACCCAGCACTAGTATGATAGATCCATTAATAGATCCACCCAGCACTAGTATGATAGATCCATTAATAGATCCACCCAGCACTAGCATGATAGATCCATAATAGATCCACCAGCACTATTATGATGGATCCATTGATAGATCCACCCAGCACTAGTATGATAGATCCATTAATAGATCCACCCAGCACAAGTATGATAGATCCATTGATAGATAGACCCAGCACTAGTATGATAGATCCATTGATAGATCCAGCACTAGCATGATAGATCCATTAATAGATCCACCCAGCACTAGTATAATAGATCCATTAATAGATCACAGCACCCATTAACTAAGATCCACTAGTATGATAGATCCATTAATAATCCACCCAGCACTAGTATGATAGATCCATTAATAGATCCACCAGCACTAGCATGATAGATCCATTAATAGATCCACCCAGCACTAGTATGATAGATCCATTAACAGATCCACCCAGCACTAGTATGATAGATCCATTAATAGATCCACCCAGCACTAGTATAATAGATCCATTAATAGATCCACCCAGCACAAGTATGATAGATCCATTAATAGATCCACCCAGCACTAGTATGATAGATCCATTGATAGATCCACCCAGCACTAGCATGAGCTCTCTCTATATCTCTCTCTCTATCTCTCTCTCTCTCTCTCTCCTGACATTTTTATCGGGTTTGAAACATGATATTTTCACCTCAATATGAATTCCGATATATTTCATTAATAAGCAATATGAATACCGATATATTTCATTAATAGACAATATGAAAACCGATATATTTCATTAACAAACAATATTATTACCGATATATTTAATTAATAAACAATGTGATTACCGATATAAATAAAGACCCCTGTTTGCTTGGTATTTTTCCGAAGACTGACAAAAATTCCTTCCTTGCAACAAACATTGACATTTTCAACTTATGATTCATATGTAGCTGACACTCAAGGTAACTTTAATTAATTGTTAAGAATTAATTACTCCATAAGATAAAAGGTGACAGAACTAATACCTTTATGATAAGGGTATGAGAGAACTTAAACCTTATCTACCTGTACATCCTTCATTAAACACCTGATGGAGGTAATTGTACTAGATATATCATTAACCTCTTGTTGATGGCTGGTTATTAAATCTAAATGATTCATCAGTCCGGAAACGCTGAATCGTAGGTTGTAAATAATTCACATCCACACTCGACAGGTTCTGGAAATTGGCCATGATTTTTTTACGAACCTAAAGTCACCTGAAGTATCTACCCCATAAAGTTACTGAACCTTTCATACTCAATCGGAAAACAAGTGAGCAAAACAGGTGAGTATCTTCCTAATCATGTGTATTGTAAGAGGGGAATGTAGGTATACACTCTACAGGTATCAGGTAAGGGGTTATAGGTACTCCTAGTGTTGTGTCTACTGATGCTTCATACTTGTTAACTGTTTGAAACAAAGTCACAAGAGTATGAACCTCAATGAAGCACAAAGAGAAAGAAAGGTAAGTGAAAGTACCAAAATTCAAAGTTAAGTCGTGAGGCTCTACAAAAAACACCAAAATGAAAAGAAGTGAAATATTATTGTTCATTCTGTGTAGCCGAAACAGTCTCGATCTTCAGGCTGGATGTGTCGGTGACTAAGAGGAACTACATTATATATGTCTACACCAGCTGCCACCAACCTACTACTGTGTATCACTCCGCGTGTTGCACCAAAGAGAAAATAAAAACAATAAAATATTCATTAACACATAGAAGACTTAATCAAGCCTTCGGGAGCTTTTAAACATCCTGTAAATAAATGAAACCAAATCATTGAGTTCACTGTTACAAAGGTTCTCCTGGTGAACTACTGTATAATTGTGAGTGTACTGTATTATGTATCTGGATGCTATAGCGGTGTAATTCAAAGTCAACATCTCTTTTCTCTCACGTCAACCAACCAACACCTGACTTGTCCGAGCTATTAAAGACGTCCGCTCGTGTTGTCAATGCTTCACGAATATTTATGAACACGATCTATCTACAAAAACATCAGAGAATGGGATCTTTTATTTTACTTAATAATAAATGAAAATTACAGGAGAAAAGATTAAAATTATAATATTGTTTACAAAGAGAAGATAAAGTTATTGCGTTTGTTGCAGTCTGGCAGTAATCCTTCGCCTCGAGAGTAAGTCCGCACGCAAGCCGATGAAGGAGCAACAACCGGCAGGGATAATGATAGAAGGAGTAACATTATACCTTCACGCAGATAATGATAGAAGGAGTAACATTATCCTTCAGCCTCAGGAGATAATGATAGGAGGAAACATTATCCTTCAGCCTCAGGAGATAATGATAGATAACATTATCCTTCACCCTCAGGAGATAATGATAGGAGGAGTAACATTATCCTTCAGCCTCAGGAGATAATGATAGAAGGAGTAACATTATACTTCAGCCTCAGGAGATAATGATAGAAGGAGTAACATTATACTTCACCCTCAGGAGATAATGATAGAAGGAGTAACATTATCCTTCACCCTCAGGAGATAATGATAGAAGGAGTAACATTATCCTTCAGCCTCAGGAGATAATGATAGAAGGAGTAACATTATCCTTCACCTTCAGGAGATAATGATAGAAGGAGTAACATTATACTTCACCCTCAGGAGATAATGATAGAAGGAGTAACATTATCCATCAGCCTCAGGAGATAATGATAGAAGGAGTAACATTATCCATCAGCCTCAGGAGATAATGATAGAAGGAGTAACATTATCCTTCAGCCTCAGGAGATAATGATAGAAGGAGTAACATTATCCTTCAGCCTCAGGAGATAATGATAGAAGGAGTAACATTATCCTTCAGCCTCAGGAGATAAAGATAGAAGGAGTAACATTATCCTTCAGCCTCAGGAGATAATGATAGAAGGAGTAACATTATCCTTCAGCCTCAGGAGATAAAGATAGAAGGAGTAACATTATCCTTCAGCCTCAGGAGATAATGATAGAAGGAATAACATTATCCTTCAGCCTCAGGAGATAATGATAGAAGGAGTAACATTATCCTTCAGCCTCAGGAGATAATGATAGCGGGAGTAACATTATCCTTCAGGAAAACCACTAAGACCGAGGCACTATCATTCACTAAGACCTTGGCATTGGCACTCACTAAGACCTAAGCATTGTACCTCTCTAAACCCTAGGCATTGTAAGTCACTAAGACCATGGCACCCTGTAACTCACTGAGACCTAGGCACTGTCCTCACTGGGTATGTCCCCACTGGGTATGTCCTCACTGGAACCCGGTATGTCCTCCGTCCCACTGGGTATGTCCCCTGGTCCTCACTGGGTATGTCCCTGCGTATGTCCCCACTGGGTATGTCCTCACTGGCATGTCCCCCACTGGGTGTCCACTGGGTATGTCCCCACTGGGTATGTCCTCACTGGATGTCCTCACTGGGTATGTCCTCACTGGGTATGTCCTCACTGGCATGTCCCCACTGGGTATGTCCTCACTGCATGTCCCCACTGGGTATGTCCTCACTGGGTATGTCCCCACTGCGTGTCCCCACTGGGTATGTCCTCACTGGGTATGTCCCCACTGGGTCATGTCCCCACTGGGTATGTCCCCACTGGGTATGTCCCCACTGGGTATGTCCCCACGGTATGTCCCCATCGGGTATGTCCCCACTGGGTATGTCCACTGGGTATGTCCTCACGCATGTCCCCACTGGGTATGTCCCCACTGGGTATGTCCTCGGGTATGTCCCCACTGGATGTCCCCACTGTATGTCCTCACTGGGTATGTCCCCACTGGGTATGTCCTCACTGGGTATCCACTGTGTCCTCACTGGGTATGTCCTCACTGGTATGCCTCACTGCCTGGTATGTCCACTCGGGTATGTCCCCACTGGGTATGTCCCCACTGGGTATGTCCTCACTGGGTATGTCCTCACTGGGTATGTCCCACTGGGTATGTCCTCACTGGTATGTCCCCACTGGCATGTCCCTCACTGGGTATGTCCCCACGGGATGTCCTCGGGTATGTCCCCACTGGGTATGTCCTCACACTGGTATGTCCTCACTGGTATGTCCCCACTGGGTATGTCCCCACTGGTATGTCCTCACTGGGTATGTCCCCACTGGGTATGTCCTCACTGGGTATGTCCCCACGGGTCCCCACTGCATGTCCTCACTGGTATGTCCTCACTGGGTATGTCCCCACTGGTATGTCCACTGGGTATGCCTCACTGGGTATGTCCCCACTGGGTATGTCCTCACTGGGTATGTCCCCACTGGTATGTCCCACTGGGCATGTCCCCACTGGTATGTCCTACGGGTATGTCCCCACTGGGTATGTCCCACTGGGTATGCCTCACTGGGTATGTCCCCACTGGGTATGTCCTCACTGGGTATGTCCCCACTGGGTATGTCCCCACTGGTCCTCACTGGGTATGTCCCCACTGGGTATGTCCCCACTGGTATGTCCCCACGGGTATGTCCCCACTGGGTATGTCCCCGCTGGGTATGTCCTCACTGGGTGTCCTCACTGGGTATGTCCTCACCGGGTATGTCCCCACTGGGTATGTCCTCACTGGGTATGTCCCCACTGGGTATGTCCTCACTGGGTATGTCCTCACTGGGTATGTCCCCCACTGGGTATGTCCCCACTGGGTATGTCCCCACTGGGTATGTCCCTGGGTATGTCCCCACTGCTGTCCTCACTGGGTATGTCCCCACTGGGTATGTCCCCACTGCATGTCCTCACTGCATGTCCCCACTGGCATGTCCTCACTGGGTATGTCCTCACTGGGTATGTCCCCACTGGGTATGTCCTCACTGGGTATGTCCTCACTGGGTATGTCCCCACTGGGTATGTCTCACAGGCACCCTACTGGGTATGTCCCCTCACTGGGTATGTCCTCACTGGTCCCTCACTGGTATGTCCTCACTGGGTATGTCCCCACTGGGTATGTCCTCACTGGGCATGTTCCCACTGGGTATGTCCCTCACTGGGTATGTCCTCACTGGGTATGTCCTCACTGGGTATGTCCTCACTGCATGTCCCCATCGGTATGTCCCCACTGGGTATG